CCCGTTCATTTTCGAACCGATAACTCGTCACCGTTGCCGTTCCAAAAACTCGAACGAGTCAATTGACAGCCACTTTTCGGTATTCGCCCCGACAGATTTAAATCGCAGCCCGGTAAAGGCTGACTGTTCACGCGGCGTGGAACCACAGCAATTATTCGTCAGTCGTGATTAACGAAATTGATGGAATCGTTTGTCATCCGGTCGGATAAATTTCCCGGGGCGTGATCCGGCCTCTGGTCCTTTCCGAGGCTCGATCGGAAAATTCCATTAGAATCGGCCTGATGGAAAAGAATACCGCCGTTTCCGGTTGCTCTGTTTGTTCAATCAAGCCTTTCCAGGCCCGGGATCAAGTCGTTTAAACGAATTTGATTACGATCGATACACCACCGCACCCCACGGCTGTCCCGTGTACGCACGGAATTCTATCAATTTTTATTCCGCACAATCGAGTTGCACATCCTTTCCCGAATTCCACCATCGTACCAACAGGAATTCTGGACCGTAACCCCTTGCCCACTATTGCCGAATAACTCTGTATCGGTCAGGCGTTAGTTGCACGATTGGGCTGCCAATTTTCTTAATTTACTATAGAACACCAAGTGATATGAAGCCATCGAATAGATATCCAAAAGAATTCTTATTTTCGTAGAAATGTTGCGCTTGTAGATGATAAAGAAAAATCGAATACTAGTTTTGATCGAAAAGTGACATTTATGTATAACTTTTGATAACCCTTATGTATAACCCTTGTTAATATAGCGTTTCGAAAATTTTGTATAATTTATTCGGCATTACTTTTTTTATATATTCTGTACAGTAATTTTTAACATAAGTTATGATTTCATATCGCGGAAGAATGTTCTTTATTTTAAAACGAAAACGGAATAAAAATTTTAAACGAGGTCATCAGGCCACCTCGAAGAAGGAAAGCAGTTTTATCCGATAAAATGCGCCATTCTTAAAACGTCGAACTTTAAGTGTTCGTTTCCATTAAAATATCCATGAAATTTGATTAATATTTACATTTTTATGTCTATTGAATATTTCAGAAATAGTATACAGTCAATATATATCGATATGAGAAAGTTGGACTTTTCGGGATAATGGCGATGTTTAATCCCGACACACAGTCGTTGTAGAAAACCGTAAATGTTCCGGTTTTCATAGTCTGAAATCTGATATCTCTTGTTCGGAAATTCGATACATTATCCCGTTACCCGACACAGTGTAACCGAAATTCGACACCGTTGTATCTGCTTTTAACCGCCGCTTAAGTGTTCGCAAATTAGATCCACGTGTCTCATAGACGTCCTTTAATGTTTCTTCGTTCACTGGCGCAGCGTCGTCGTATCAATTAAGAGCAATAAATTGGCTCCATCCCCCCTGGTTCCAATCGAGGATCGATACGTGAGATTCGCGACGTGTGTGTCCGTGCACTTTGTAGCGAAACGGACGAGGTCTCGGCCATAAACCCGGTTTGTACGCTACATGAATACCCCGCGTCTTTATTTATGGGTTTTCACGAAGAAGTTCCCCTTTGAGTGGAGGAGCTGGCCGGAGGAGCTCTGGCATCACGACAGCCGGAGTCGCGGAACTTTCCATCGATTTTCCATCCCCCAAACTCCACCCCTCACCCCTTCGTAACCGTCGCTGGCACACGGTACATTTTATAAATTCTATAAAATCCCTCGGTCGCGCGATACTCACCGCTCCTTTTATCCCTTCACTCTCTCGAGTTTCCTCACCAGCCGTGATCCCACCCTTTTTACGACGATTTTGTTCCCTCTTCTGTTGATGCAGGTTAAGGCTCGTTATGGAGGATATCCGGTGCAAAGAGTGGGCACTGGGATTCCGTTAGAAAATTATTTCCTCCTTGTCTGCCACCGGTTTATTAATTACGATTGCATCGTGAACAATTTCGAAACGCTTTGGCGATCAACGATACGTATTTTATTGCTCGATCGATGTTTCTTTGGATTATTTGTCGATTCTTTGTGGATCGATCTGTACATCACAAATACAAATTTATTTTTCCATCGTCCAGAAAAATGTCAGAAGTTCAAATCCAATACTTCAAATGACGTGGGGCTAGTGTCACTTTATTTAACACTAGAACTACCAGCCATGAATGTATACGATATTAAATTTGATAATTTCAATAATGGTAAAATAGTAAATCTGTAAACCGTCATTTCAACGGGTTTGGTAGTTCTCGTGTTAATATATGAAGTGCTACGCGAACGAATCAGTTTCTTTTCACTCTGCTGAAAAGTTACACGTTTTCGACTTATGACACTTTTCACGCAGGGGTGCGATATGAACTGTGAATTAACAGGAGCAATTAAATCGGACTGCGCATCTACTTTCGGAGTCTTGTTATATTTTTAACGTCGACAGAATACCATTTCAAAAATATCCCGACAATTCCGAAGGTTTATTCCGGTCCCCTGGGACCCTGTGACGGGGGGAAGGGAATCTCAGGTTTGGAAGGGAATCTCAGCAGTCCCCGGGAGCTCCTCTCGTAAATTCCTTAAGCCGCCATTTAGAGCTCCAGGGCGAATTTAACCGCGCTACATGCGTTGTCCCCGGGAGCTCCTCTCGTAAATTCCTTAAGCCGCCATTTAGAGCCCCAGGGCGAATTTAACCGCGCTACATGCTTATATCTGCTTGGCATTGCGGATTCAATTCTAAAAGGGAAATAATGTAACGCACAGAGAGAGAGAGAGAAAGACGGCCCCGTTCTTTATTACTCAGCCTTTCAGCCGTGCCAACTGGATGGAGTTTCTGGTCCGGTCCACGTCGGGGTGCCAGCTCCCCCATTTTCCTTTTCGCGGTGGTACAGTGTACTTTTAGGAACCATTAACGAATTCCGGGCGATACCTTTACTGGCGCCCGTAAATATAAAAAAAAGGGTCCCCCTCGATCAATACCGCCTTCTAGCCGAGGAATCGTCCAGTACGTGACCACCGAAAATTATGCGCCCGTTTAAAGCGAGCCCTTTTCGCGAATTATTTCTCATCGCATCGGAATCCATCCACCGTATTCGACTCGAATCCGTGGGCAGCAACCCCGGGAAACTCGAACGAATCCCTTAACAACGTCTCGTAAAACGCTTCGTCATCGTAAAAAAAAAGAAAGGAAAAAAAAGCGACGCGTATACAGTAGACGGGACAAAAGCAGTCAGGCGAAGAATATTCTCGAGGCTTTCTTCGCGTTAATAAATCTTTACGAGGGTCAGTTTTCGGATGGAAAGTTTGTAAATAAGCTTGCGAAAGATTTCAGTAAGTTTATCAAAACAGATATAGGGGAAGATATGGTAGCACCGTATACTTAAATGAAATACAAAAAGAATACACAGAGTGAGTCAATAAGAACTATGTGCTATCTAAAATGACTCGTTACCTAATGATTGTATTAGACAACGTTTTAATGAATTATGTAGCATTTTAAGGGACACATCGGATGGATACCATATGATTTTCCTAACCGTATTCAAATACCCCAGCTATTTTAGAATGTACATGTCACCCGTATTCGAATGACGTGACAGACAAAGTGTCAAGTTCACTTAAGAAATCTTCTCTCGATAGTGCTTTTCGGTCGTTAAATCGTTTCAGCGATTATTAATCGATCGACGAATTTTCATGTCACGATCACACAAGTTCTCCAGATAAATAATTAATTAAAGCCCGAACTCTGGTGCCGCGTTTCGTTTCTTGTCCCGAGCGGAAATGACCAGTTACTTCTGGAAGCATCCTGGATTCCAAATGTTCCTTGGAGGTACGTGTTCGAAGACAAAGACAGACACACCCGGTTCTTCTGTTCTCCAACTGTACACGAAAGCTCTCTGTGTGCGTACAAGAAACAAAGGACGGAGAAGCAGCCGGGAGTATCGATTCCGACGATCGAGATAAATATTAATCAAGCTAGGGGGGTAGAAGAAATCCCCCTTCCGGTCTTCTCTCTGTAGGGATCGTTTCCTGTTACGCGGCAATCTCGACGGACGGTGGCGTAGCGCTTTGGTTTACGTCCGAGCTGGTTTTACTGCCCCCTAAAATAAGGATCCACGGGATCCCGGCGAAAGCATATATGCATTCGGTGGTAATCGCGGCATCGAGAGCACGCTTGCGGCCGAGAGAGGGGTTTACGCCGCGGCATTTCCCTTTGTTCGTATCGCGTGCGCTGGGAGGGGCTGTGGGGAGCGGCCGTTTCTTCGTGCAATCCCGATAGAATGGATCGAATAGCTGCTTGTTACTGTACACAGACGCGGTGGCCCCCGGTGTATCCCTCGTCCATTTATATATCTCGACGTTCGATCGGCGGCGGTTACAGAATTCCGAACGACATCGACGAGCGTATATAGCCTCGTTTTCCTATTTTCCAGATTTCCTCGAACCGCGATTATATCGTCTGTCCCGTTGCGGTTTACTAATATTGCGGGCGCCCTCCACGAAGACGCCTTTAACGCGTACTTATCGCGGAAAAACGACGGAACTTGCCCTAGATTTCACGAACATTTCTTACCGGATCGTCCACCAAAGATATCATCCAACTTCCTCGATCTTCATCATGTCGAAGCAAAAACAATAAAGTCGCGTTAACTGCGCGAACCTCGGGATTGCATGTGCGGAGTAAGTGCGTACGGTCGCCATTTCAACCCCTCGTGAATTTCGAGCCAAGCCTCGGCAGCTTGCTTTTGTAAATACAATGTAGTGTCAATAGCGACTGTCGCAGAAAGGTAGAGCAAATGAGAAAGTATTTTCTCACCGACCAGGCAACGTTTAATATTTTTTGGGTTCCCATCATTCAGCCGTCCCATCATTACCCTTCTTCAGGTGGCTAATTTCACAATAATTCTAATTGTTTTTCCGAATCGATAAGATCGATCTAACTTAATGTCGTGTATCCTCTTTCATCCGTCACTATCACGATATTCATTCCATACCATTTATGTTTACGTCTGCCTGTGTTTTTGTAACTGGCGTTGAAAATGTATTTCCCTACAGCTGGCTACCTGGGCACCACGCGGGAACGCGTTGGTCTACGTGCACCTGAATAACATCTATTACAGACCGGAAGCGGAAGTGGCCGTCGACTATCAAATCACCAACACCGGCGTGTTCGGGACCATTTATAATGGTGTGCCGGACTGGGTGTACGAAGGTAAGCTACTTTCATGAAGATCGTCCCGCGAAATCCACTTTATTATTCCGAACATTCTCGACGGGGTGTCCAATCGTCTTAACTGTCGCTGGATCCTCGAGGAACGTCTCGATCTTCCGTTGAATAACCGGAGATCGTGTTTTACCACTCAGAACAGATACTTTTTTTAATCTCAATAAGCAGAAAATCAAAAGATCACTGTACCCGCTAAATTGCTTCACATTGATCTTCATAATTTGTTCGTTTATCATGTACCATTCTATGGCGGTAGAGTTTAAACGCAGGGTGGTGCACGTAACTGAAATCACTTCGATACTGGGTAACTAATAATATCAGTAAAAAATATTTCGTGTTCGTTGGTTCGTGGCCCTGTCTGGAAGATACACGTTGAACAAAGATATTATATAAATTTCATTCTTTATGAAAATTCGTTTCCACGGATCGATCGTCGAGAGCTGAAGTAGGTATAGCAAATCCTCGATAAATCTTCGAAGGCTCTTCGGCACTGAACATTAAATATTTCATAAACTAATAGCCATATGCGACTGAAACAAATATCATTAGCTTCAGAATTCCAAGATTTACCCCGATTCTAAATCTCATTAACAAGTCAGCGTTACACCTGAGAACCTCTCCTTGTTAGTGCCGAGAAGCCTTCGAACACTCATCGAGAATTTATTGTATTCGGTCCGGAAACACTGTCCCGTAATTGCTTCGGGACGACGCATCTTAGCGCGGGTAAGGACAAAGTTTCCAAGCAACGCAAATGCAACCCGTTTTCCGCTGGTCACGCTGATAACAGCGGGAATCGTTGTCCGGTTTCAGTTCTTCTGGAATGAACGGGGGGCATCACACGGTTGAATTCGCGCGGCCGCTCGAAGCGGAAGTGCGGCGTTATCGCGATACCGACTAGTTGTGCACGGCCGCGGTGAAGCGAATACTTCAAAATAAACTGGACCGCGTAACTACGGCTGGGGAGGGGTAGGAGGGGGTGGAGGGACCGATTTTGAAGCGAGTACAAAATGAAACTGCGTGGACGCGGTTTCCGAACCGCGAGCTGCCAGTTTCCCGCTCAACGACCGTTCAATTTGCCGCGTAATTATTTTTAACGGGGTCGTGGCTCGAAATTTTTAATTGGTCCCCTTCTCCCCCTTCCCCAGTGTCCACGTAGGGCTTGAACCCTTTCATCCGCGTGTTTTGAAGCCCGCTGCGTCAAACGCAATTACGGTTATCACGGTATAACAGAACTGGTACCCTCCTCCTCTGGTTTTAACATTGGTTCTGTGATCTTTATCGCGAGACACTTTTTATGGATTTGGTCGTGAACAAATTACCGGCCCGGCTGTTTTAAATCGGTTTGAACGGGGCGTGGGATTTCGACTGAGCAGGACTAAGTCTGTTCAAGTCCTTTATCGTTCAAAATACTAAACACTTTTTTTTCTTAGTTTTTGTCGATAAAAAGTTATCGAGGTACATTTAAATTTTCAAAATTAAGAACAAATTTTCTGAATTTTTTCCTGGCTTGTTAAAATTCTTTTTTCGAAAATCATTTGTCGCACGACAGAATGTAGTAGAATATAGAAGATGCTCTTTGGCTAGATTTACATATTTTGTCTGACATGGTTTTTTATCAGGGGGAAATAAGAGCCAAGCTAGTATAGAATGCTTTATAACTTTGGATGATCAAATTGGATAACCATGGAGATCAAATTGGAAGTACGAAGAGTGTTTTCAGAGTTCTGGGCATTTTGTTACAAAATTGTTTATGTTATTAATTTTCGTCCATATTACACTGTAATTTTTCAATACAATTTCCGTTTAACGGTGTGCATTTATCTCAGCACAAAACATTTCGGGAGTATCTTCGTTACGCGATTTGAATTCTCAAATCGTCCACTGTGTAGAGGTTTTTACCAACTTTGGCAACAGTTGATGGTTGTCTGATCAGGCGAATAAGGTGGACGTGGCAGTAATACCCAGCGCCATTTGTTGAAAGTTAATTTTTAAGAAAATAATGTCTTTTTGAGAATTAACAACTTCTATAGTTGCAGAATTAACACTTAAAAATCAGCGCCATTTGTTGAAAGTTAATTTTTAAGAAAATAATGTCTTTTTGAGAATTAACAACTTCTTCTATAGTTGCAGAATTAACACTTAAAACCACATCCATCATGGAGTTTGAATATTCATCCTTTTGTAATTTGTACTTTTACGACTGTTGTTTATCGATCATTCGAAGTCGAGTGGGAACGGGTTACAGAGAGAAATATAGCTGAACAACCCTCGAAATACGAGATGTAATCCGATAATGAATGTCCCAATGATTTGAGGGAAATATACTTCGTTCAGATTACGTGTATAACAGCTGTCGAGATTTTCGCAAATAATGGATTTGCGTTGGGGAAATGGCAACGGTCTCAATTCTTGTATCGTATTCAGAGCTCTCGATTTACCAGGTTCAGAAAGGTTGGACTTGTCGCGTGAATTTTGGTAGGTTGGTAGCCGGATCTTGAGATCAGATTATCCATCCTCAATTACAAAACTGTCTGGTTTCAATAATCAACGTTTATCCATACACCTGTCGACTGGCAACACTCGTGGCAATTAAGCCCCTATCAGTTTACAGTTCATTCGGTTGGTAAAGCAATCAGGCAGGCGACAGAGAGTTCAGCATCCAAACGGTAGTCAACAGAGACAGTTCATTAGTCACTCGGTATGAGTTCCACGTAGCCTTGAGTAGGCGGTATTCAATCGTAGATCCGTTGCGTGAAGGATCCTCGAGGTAATTCGACGCCACAAATACCTTGAATGATCGTCCGACAGTCATTAGTATCTTGCCAAAGCTTTCACATTCACCGAAATATCTCCAGCTAACCACGATCATTTTATACGTAACCAGAGATCACGAACTGACGAGCTGCATCAACTGTCAGACGTGTATATATCGATGCTTCAAAAAATATCTCTTTTGGATCTCGAAAATTGCTCATTCATACATAGGGTGTTCCATAATTTTTATTTTGACACGGCCCTGGTAGAAACAGTTGAAAAATTGCCTTTATACTATTGAACAGCTCGACCCTTTTCAGATGTATCCTCTAAACCCCGTACCCAACGCGTCAGTTTACTTTTTCTTAACTATACTTTTATTTAAGAGATAACTCTAACTGTTTAAGACATCAAGAAATCATATCTCAGTAACAAAGCCTCGGATTACATTGTTGCTAAGGAAAAACTTGTTCCAATTCACCCCCCAAGTGCCCCATTTCCGGGTCGGACAACATTTTTGTTACACCCTGTATACAAACTATAGGGGGGCATCGTCGAGCAAGGAGACGAGAGTCCCCAATTTTCAACCAACTTTTCCAAGAATTCCCATCAACTGCAATAATATCCAGGCTTCTGATCCTTTCAAATCTAGAAAAAAATCTAGATCCTTCCAAACCCCGTGCTTTCCATTAACCGCGCGAGCCCAGGAGCAATTAACGGCGGGTCGCGAAGGTCGCAGGGTGTGGGAAAAGAAATCCCCAGTCGAATCATCGTCGTTATCACGAGGCGTGGCCGGGTAACGCGATTCCACCGCAACCAGACGCAATATTTTTTCGTCGGCCCTTTAGCGACAACGTCGCGACCGAGCTGCTTTGTACGTGTGTCGGATGAGTTTTCGCCCCGGCACCGGGGACAATAATATCTGCCGGAGCCGTAATTCACACAGCTGATGCTCCAGGGGACGTTGCTGCACGCGTTTGCATATTTCTGAGCCTTCATCAGCCCTGTTCCCCATCTTCTTTCGTTTCGTTCTTCGCCCTCCTGTTTCGCTAAATCGCGGGCGCGCGGGTCGTCCTCGACGAGCTAACGCGGATGAAGCATAAAAATTCATCAGAGCAGCAGCAGCTGGTTCACAGAAAGGGACCGGAAGAGACCACTTCTTTTTTTTTTTTGTCCCGTCCCCTTTTGGGGCTGGCCTGATTCGTTGTCGTCCCAGCAGCACGTTCAATGGACTCTCCTCGACTTGGTAAATATTTAAACGCCGCCACTGGTATTAATGTTCCCACGAAATCTGGTCGTCTTTGGTACATCGTGTCCTCGAAGGACCTGCTCGCCCATGCGATCTATAGAGAAAGGTATCGTCCTGGACGATAGAGAAGCCTGTTTCGAATTAATTGCTCCGGCTGGAGACCCGATCGATATTTCGATGGGGATTCTAGGAGTGGATCGGTTGCAGACTTTGCTAATTTGTTTGCTCACGGACTCGTCCGGCGCATGCCGCCTTTAGGTGTTCGTTCCTGAGATACTCATCCGTGGACCAGGGAAGGTTTATCGAGTTAACTGGACAAACAAGAAAACGTCTGAGGTTCGACGATAAAGGTCTGGATAAGTTTCTAACTGATATCCCTTAATAGAGGATGATTTATCGTGTTATTCCATACTTTCTAATGCATGAATGGTTCCTAATTCAGAGTCCGACAAGGGCCTCATTTATCAACGGAAATAGCTCCCTGATTGTGTCGATCAGGAATGATAGGTCAATTTGTAACTCGGTGCGTAGTCTCCTGACAGCGTATTCTTTCCTCGAGAATGGTAGTTTGAACCGAATCCAGATTTGTCAAGAAACGTCCGTGAAATTGGATATCGATCGTGTAATTTGATATCGTGCCGTGTAATTCGATAACAGATCCTATAATCTAGTAGATCATAACACATGAACTTCGACCGCGTACTAGGAGAGTTGACACCGTACACCCAAAATCGGACCCTGCGTCCTGATATCCGATACCATTTCGTCAGTGTATCATGCTCGGTTTTCTCCTTTTCGTTCGTGAATCTCTTCCAGCTGTTTATTGTTCTCCGTACAGTCGTTAAAACCGTGTTTCAATTGTAAACGTATAACTAAACTGCGTATTCGGCTAAAAGGCCGTCAAATATTCGAAAAATATCTTAAAGCTACGTAACTTTAATTCTTTCTATCTTTACAATTATCTGCACATACTATTTCACTT